GGATGCTGCCTTTTCCTGCACAGCAGTGGCATTTTTCCATTTCACAGACACATGTCCACACACTCTTCTCACTTTACTGCCCCTGTTAACTTCTGCCATATGTTCCTTTAGTTCTTTTAGCTTTGAATTCAGATCTCAGTTTCTAGAAGGAAGTGTCCGGCTTGTAAGATCAATCTGTCCAGTGATACAGAAACACAAAATCCGGAGAATTGCAAGGAAGCCGCAGGATATTTCATCAGGTTATAGAGCCTTAAAATGTATGACCGTTACATTACTATAACCCTTTCTTTAAATTGTTGTGTACGAGCAATGTTGAAGTTCTTCAGCTGCGTTGTTAGTGATATAAAATCCTACTATAAGGCACCACACAATGTGTGATCGCCGCCTGCACCTTGTTCTATGTTGTGCCAGATTTTGCCCAATTTACTCAAAGAACTGCAGTCACTATGGTACCTGATATAATCTAATAATACTGCACAAGCCTCATTGGTCAATGTGTAAATAACAGTTCCAACTAGATACACAAATGTCTTAAATATAAAAACAACAGTACAGAACAAACTAACACCAATGTCCTATAATACAAATGAAATTTAGTAACAGTAACAACAATATATTATTCTCTACATCAGTAGTGCTCAGCTTTGTACAGTAAACCTATGAGTTCAACGTGTACTAATCTCTTTCAGATAGATAGATTGATAGAGAGTTCCCTTTGGGAAATTAAGGACGGTTTAAAAATGGTGTATTATTTTCACACAACACTATCTTATACTCTTAATCAGTTGTTATGCAGTATAAGTACTGAGCACTGAAGGCTCTGATCCTACCGTGTCCATGCTGAGTGTGAGGGAAGGTCTTTAGGATGGGTTGTGCAGGGCCTGCCGCTCAGGTTTGAGACATATCTAGAAATATTAAATTATTTTTAACTTTCTAGAAGTTCAAAGAAAGTAATACAGGCAAATAACAAATGGTTAATTCACATGTTGTTGTTGACAGGTTAATAGCATATTTAATTACTATTGTTCCACAGGACCTTTTGCTGGAGCTGTCATCTGACATGATGGATGGTGGTGATCGCCAGTGTCAGTTCTCGCTGTTTGTGAATCTGAAACACAGATATTTTTAAAAGTGTAGTTTTATGTATTTAATTTAATTGTGTATTTAACAACTGTACAATTTTAAGTGCCCAGTGCCAGTTTAGTAATGTGGGTATAAGGAGTTGTTTAAATTCCTTCATTTACTGAGTCACTGCACAATGGTACAGAACACATTTAAGCATTTTCCTGATACCTGCATTATCAACAGGAAGTTCATGAGTTCTGGTCTGGCGCTAGATATTTTGGTCGAGGGTCGCTGCATGGCTGAATTCAGCTTCAGTATGACTGTCACACTGCCCCTGCTGGTCACCTGAATTCTCCCTGCTAATTTTCCTCCTGTTGAAGAAATTAAAGTTATCTCCCAGCCTTCGTTTTACACTGTAGTCTGTAGTCATTGAAAACTTGTCCATAAACACAATAAAAAACAAAATGTTATTTGTACTGTACCAACGTGACAGTGGCAACAATTATATGAAACCGCGAAACACAACGGATGCTAACGTTACTTAAACAGTGGAGATATTTACGTCTAAGTAAAACACACCTGCAGTGTTGTTAAAGAACATTTTCTGAACAGTAAAATGGAACCAAATGAGGCCAAAAATGAAACAGAAGTTCGCAAAAAGCACTACTGTGGCAGCCTTCTAGAACCTGGAGTGTTTTGTTCTTACATTAATTCGGTGCATCACGCAGCAAAAAGGTCCGTGACTAGGTAAGTTTAACGACTTCATTCACGAGCAGAACCACTTCCTTTGTTTTTCCAAAATAAAGGTTTAATGAGTTCTAAACAGCCACATGTTTTTTTTAGTTTGATTCCGTTTAAACGTCCAGCGTCCGTAAAGTAAATATGTACATTACCACGAGTTGATGATTAATCAGATTACAGGGGGTGCACGTGCCAACCCGTGCCACCCTCGAACCTCTCTACTGGCCACAATGAACATTTAAGATTACATTTAAGAACACATGCAACATTATGGTGACCCTGTGTGTACCCCATATGTGCCCCCCCAGCGCACACTGGGCTGTAGTTTGTTAGTCCTGGTCCAGAAATGTTGTTCAACAGGCTGCTGTCTTTCATTGCCATCTCCATGGCAACCATCGTCTTAAATCGCCCTGACAAAAATTCTACCTGGGTCTCTGACACTCACTCTCTCAACTAAGATAATTCTGCTAGGTGGTGGTTGATGGAGGATCAAGCCCCCTTTTTTACTCCCTGTCTTTACTTTAGTCGGCAGAATATATTATAATCTTTTGTCATATGTAATGTAATTGTGGAACTTTCAGAAGTATGACATAAACCAATGGTTAATTTAAACCAATTAATTATGACAACTGACAAGTTAAGTGAAAAACACTGATTATCACTGTTTATTGTGCCTGTCAGTGGGAGGAATTGGTGTTAGGCGTTTTTCCTGGGGCAGCCTCTGCCTATAACTGTGGTGTATCAAGCAAGCAACAAAACCTCCCTGCAACAAAATAAAAAAGAACCCAATGCATTACGCAAATTAAGATCGAAGGTTTGTGGACAAAATAGGATTTGGCGATTAATCATTTCATATTTTTGGTTAATTACTGAAAATGTGCAATTGCCAGGCAAAACAAGTGTATTTCTCGAACTTTATACGTAGCCAAAAGCGAAGACCTCTGCTGCCCTCGTGTGGTTTCTATGCATAGCAGGAAGTAATCAACAAAAATAGATAGATAGATAGATAGATAGATAGATAGATAGATAGATAGATAGATAGATAGATAGATAGATAGATAGATAGATAGATAGATAGAGGGGGAAAACAATGCTATTTTATTTTATAAGCAATATCTGGGGCCATACTGTATGCTTTATCTATATTTTTTCTGTCGTTTTAATCTCTAAATGTTTTACCGAGAAACTTTATATCGTCTCTTCTGATGCACAGTATAAAAAACGTTATTTTGCTGTCACAGTGACACAGGGAATTCGTTTTGTACTTTTTTTTTTTCCATTATCAAAGGATCTGTATACGTACTGCATACTGTCATGTTGGCAACCTGTTCTTCCCCCAGTGGTCGGTGTGTGCAGTGACAACTGCTGTTGATGCGGCGGTAACCGTTGCCTGGCTCTTCCTGTGGTTCACACAGAGGGAGAGAGAGGGGGATCAAGGAAGGACGCAGAATGGCGACTGTGCTGTGCCACAAATGCACGGCAGAAAGGAAAGGGTTTCGGCGGGAACTTGATTCTTGGCGACATAAACTGATACACTGCGTTGGTACGGTCCATATGCAGTTTGATATATTGTGAAAAAAATCCAGTGGTTACCCTAAAATTTTGCCCGGTTTCGTATGGGATTAGCTGAGCAGATCTGTGTTGGGTTGCTAGGCTAACGCTAGCTTAGTAATAGCAGCTAGTAGCAATTATTGTACATGTCCAGTTCTTAACTGTAGGCTTGCATTTACCAGCTACATAGCTCTAACTTCTTTGTCCCTCCGAGCTAGCAGGCTACTAGTCTGTAGCCCAATGTCGGACTGGTAATGCCTTTTAGGCATTTGATTACGCATAACAGTATGGCCCATTGTTTATCAATGTATTTTTGTTGTGTGTTCTCCGGGTAGACAGCAGGATGTTTATCGGTTTTTATGTTAACTGTGCTGCTGCATGCTAACGCGATTATCGTTGCCGTTAATCTGAGGAAGTATGTGGTGCTGCATCGGCAAAGCTCATTTCAAAGCATTATGACAAACACGTTCGTTCAATCATGCTGTATTGATATTGATTGATTTTATTATATTCGGCATTAATTTGAAGCCGGCAGCCTTGGTTTAGATTATAGCGACACCCAACCCAGATTACGCTTGTGTTATTTGTTCCGTGTTTGCAAACCAAATTATCCATCATTAAAGTACCTTTTCCTAAGCGCCTTTTTATCGTTAGTCTGTTAGTCGGTTTTTTTTCCGTAATATCATGTTCTTTTCTATCATTTGTTGCTGCCAGGTTTATTTTATCTATGCACCCATGACCAGGTATAAAGTCCATTTATGCCCTTCTTCCTCGATCATGTACGTTTGACATCTGATACAGTTGTCTTGCTTAATAGATTCCCTTGAACTAAAGACTGGTCATAATGCCTTTAGATCGTTGCAGTATTCTTGTATCTCAACAAACGTCCTGTTTTCAACCTTGGGATTAGCTCGCAAACCATAGACTTTATAAAACACAGTTACTGAACTATTGCTGTTGGAGGTTAGTTTGCAAATTTAAAAGAATTAAAGAAAAGTTTCATTAGTTTCAGAATTAAATTCAGGTTGTTTGGGAAAGTAGAGTAACTATATTTATGAAATTAGCGAGTTCGTTTTACAGTGTATATTTCTGTAAGATGACATCTGTAGGCCACACCTACTTCCCAAACTGAATGGAACTTCATTTGACTATGCAATGTTTGGTTGGCTGTTTTAAAGGTTATTAACATATTACTAGTACGGAATTATTAATATTTTTTGTTTCTTTCAGGGTTTGAAAGCATCCTTGAAGGTATCTATGGCTCAATGCTGCTGAGAGACCTTGATGTGTTTGATGGTGAGTTTTTTTGTATGCATGGTTAATTGTGATCACATGAAGCCCTGGGTTTTCATGTAATCGGAAAATGAAAAATCGTACTGTACCCTTTATTAATTGTTAGCTGGTTTGTGTTATTGTGTTTTTCAGACTGTGAACCTGAGGAGTCAGAGGACTGGTCGCCAGAAACAAGCTCCTCCCAATGTTCGTTCTGCAACATTCCTTTGGACAAGGTTAGTGTGATAATTGTCAAATAATAAATCAGCAAACCTTTGTTCACCAATGGAATTTAAATTGTATTGCTTAATGCTCCTTTCCGTTTGTTTCTCTTTGTAGGATCAAGTACCTCTATCCACCTCACCTCTCTCCTCCCCCTCAGATTACTCCCCCTGTCAGGCTCCAAGCATCTTTGAGAGCAACCAATCAGCTCACAGGTTTCTTCAGGCTGTTTTCATTAAGAAAGGTGAGGCAAGTTTGTCTGTCCAGAGGAGCATTCTTACATTCGGATTATAAGACACTCTATAGTTAGTTTATGTTTTTTGTTCTTAGTTCTTTTTTACAGTAAACCAAAGTCTATTGTCAGCAGTTTCATAGTTTCAGTTTAGCTCACGACCTCATCTTCGCCTTGTTTTTTTAGATTTGCCTCTTGGCTGCGATACCAACATCCCACTTGTTGCTCAGGAACTGATGAAGAAGATGGTACGTCAGTTTGCCATAGACTATGCATCCAAGTGTCTACACAACAATGGTACAAGTAATGTTATAACAAGGACATCCTCAAGTTCATCAGAAACGTCAGATGCCCCTCTAGACCTCACAGTGAGCCGAGCTCAAGCTGAAAAAAAAGATGAACCTGAAATAGGTAGGTAAAGCATTTAACACACTCCCATCCCACAGACAAAGACAGTTTCTAACAAATAAAGCAGTCTATCCACTGAGTGGTTAAACTCGGTAGTGAACATTAAACTAATGTCACTTGTCCAAACATCAGTTGTATTACTAATTGCTGCATTTTGGGTAAACCCACAGCAAGCTGCTAGCGAGTCATGACAAAAAGCAACAAAAAGCTACATTAACGCTATGTCTTCAGAAATAAAAAGCTACATTAACGCTATGTCTTCAAAGGCCTGTTGTTAGCCTCTTCAAACTGGGTATTTTCGACTTAACAATGGTGTTTAAGCATTGAGTTACATTTTTCATTTTTTATAACTTTGCAGTGGATTCCCCATGGTTACATTACTGCTACATATATTATAAAGAGAAGGTCTTATTGTAATTTATTTCATCACAATGTGAGTTCAAATGTTTTTCTCCTGTTACAGATGGAGTACTTGACCTCTCCAACAGAAACCCTGGCTGCTCAGCTACTTCATCATCAACAGCAAATAAAACTGGCTCCGGGTAAGAGTTTTTTGTTAAATCATTGATACATCCCCGCCATTTACATTAAAAAGGGAACCTTTGCATATTTGGAAATCTCCCTTAAATGTTCTGTACTATGATCAGGTTAAATTTTGAATCAGTAATTTGTTGACGCCCATATTTAAATAGGAATAGTTTGTATTTTCTTGAGTTTGTCTGTGCTGTGTGCCAGCGCACTTTGAGTGTTGGTGACGATATAGCTGTGTTTGATGTTTTGAATCTATGGGGTTGACTCTTTTATCTCTTGAGCGGTAACGTCACAGCTATGGCAGCGTGTTATAACATTTGCCAACAGCCCAGGATTGGTCAGAGCGGAGTGCCTCACTACGATTTTCTCCTCATTTTTACTGATCCACGAATGCTGAATTTGGTTATTCAACTTTCAAGCATATAGGATTCATACAGAGGGGTGTGTGAGCGCCTAAATAACCCCGGCCATTCACACTCAGTCCCACCTGGACGTGAAGAGGCTTTGCCTCACACAAAGGCTGTGTGTGCATGACATACAGCAGCAGTGTGTGTGTGTGTATGTGAGGGCCCAGAAACAAACATGAAACTTATCAGTGACAGTGATGTTACCAACACAAGGCATAAAGGAGTGGACCCCTCGCTCTGCACCCACCTAATTGTCCCCTATGCCAAAACAAACCCCTCTCCACCACCTCCATCCTGACCCTGCTGTTTGGTCCTCCCATCCCTAGGAGGCAGCACCAACAGAAGAATGATTACATTGAGAGGAGCTGGGAGCTGTCCGAGAGTTTGCTGTCGAAGGCCCTAAAAGATATATGTTCAGGGAGGCTGCAGGAGCAGCGGGCCTCATTACTCTATGGAATACCTCTTCAAACCCTGAGACAAGGTCTTGATGATCTTACTGAGAAAAGGTTTGGAACACCGCAACAACCTGTGTCAGAAAGCAACGATTTAAAGGATGAGCTGTCGTCGTACAATGTGATGTCATCAATGTTAGGCGGAGAAGCCCGTCTTGTTCTGCAGAAGGTGGCAGCATGGGCCGAAATTGGTGGAGCTGTAGAGGAAAATGGCGACTTAAGTTACCCGTTATCCTCTCTTAATTTTTATCAGCTCAGTGGTCTACAAAAACCCCATTCCTTTCCTCAACTCAGGGAAGCTCTGCAGCCCCCTAGTCCAACTTCCAGTTTGGAGCCATCAACACCATTGCGCATTCCTCAGGTCCGATCTATGTCCGACCACAGTCGCTCAATCCCAGCCGAAAACAGCATTGTTGGAGAAAACCTCCATGTGCGCACTTCATCAACAGAAAGCACTGCCAATCCCCAAACACCTACAGGGACTTCATCCCTCTTAAAGATCAGACCTCCTTTCCTGGTTCATGGTAGTCCAGGCAGCGCCAACCAGTCACCTCATCATCGCCTGGGACTGCGTAGGTCCTCCTTGGATGATTTGGAAGAGGGAACAGGTGGTCGAGACAAGGACAAGCAGCCAAGGAAAAAGCGTGGGAGATACCGCCAGTATGACCATGAACTGATGGAGGAGGCTATCACCATGGTGATGGCAGGTCGTATGAGCGTTTCAAAGGCCCAGGGAGTTTATGGTGTACCTCACAGCACACTGGAATATAAAATAAAGGAACGCACAGGTACATTGAAGAACCCGCCCAAGAAGAAATCTGCCAATTTCCCTCCATCTAACCAGTGCCTGTCTGGTTCTGGTTCTATTATGGGTTCTACAAACTCAGGGACTCTGGCCTCTGCTGCCGACACAAAGAGATTTTAGGACACAAAACGCCTCCGGAATTCTCCAACACTTGAACTTCACCTTTTACAAGACGCACATTTTCTGAATAAACTTGTCAAAACACAACACATGCCTTTACAGAAATATAGGGATATCGATATTCAGGTCTTTTAAATACTATTTGTGTCTGTGTAATGTGATAGTCATACTTCAGGGTGTTTCTTTCATTAGTCTTGGGCTTCATTTGTCACAAGGTACTGGTGCTCATTACAGGCTGTGTTCTCAGGAGCAGTATAACTAAACACATTTCTCTCAGCTCCACTTCCTTTTCCTTAAATTCTTAAGGAAGTTGAATTCATTATATTTTATTAATATTTTGTAATAGCTGTGAATCCCACTTAGAGGTGGGGACAATGACTTGTTGCAGTCGGACTTAAAGGCAATGCAATAAAAATATTTTTGCATATGTCTTGAAAAAACATACTTCTTTAATTAAAGACTAAAGTATTGATTTTCTCTAACTCAGTTCACAACGAATTGATTGTAAGCAGGATACATTTTGATCACAACCAAATTAAATAACAAAACCTTTGATTTCATGTTTATGTGCTCTGGTTTTATTTGTTAAAAAAACAACAACTCTACACGTTGTTTTTCTCCAATTAGCCCAAGACAAAATGTGGGAAACAGTAGTGGACCTTATAATGCAAAGAAATGAAGTGTGACTTTCATGTTTTGTAGCTGTTAGGCTATTAGGTTATTCAGGTTCAATTCAAACTGTTAAAGCTCCATGCTGATGGAGTGATGATGATTGTCATTTACAGCTTTCTATTTCTCTCTGGGTTTCATAGCAAAGCTATTTACACAACTTAGAGCTATTGCAACTGATCTGAAACCTTGTTGCTGTTGGTAGACGCCTCTGTAAAAGAGAGATTGTACAATGTACTTTAATGTTGTGGCTACACGTTTATACTAATACACTGAAGAGATCAGCTAAAGTTAGCCAGTTTTATGTATACATTTCTGCTATTTGTGCTAACTAGTCTATACATTGTTGCGTGTTGTCGGAATGCTGATGTGAAGCATGTTTTTAAATGTGCACTGATAAGCTTGAAAATGTAGGTTAATGTTTATGTGTTTTGATTGTTAAATATATTTTTACCATCAGATATCAACAACAATCTGTTACTGTAGCTTTATCACTGTAATCCTCATACAGGACTGCTACTCAAAAATACCTTACCTTCATGGGACCATTTTATTGGCACAAAACAGGGATACGATAATAGACCTATATTCACCAGGTGTGCTCACAAGGTGTCATACTTTCTACTGTGTGACGGAAGAGTACGAGGTGTGTGTTTGTAGGGTTACTATTGAAGGTTGATTGTGTAGACGACTGGATGTGGCCTTTGATATAGGCTGTATATCCGGTAAGAGTGCTACTACCAAAGCAGCAGTTCAGGGTTGCACACACAACGCTGCTACATTTTGATTTGCTGCGATGCAGATGTTTGACTGTATGTATGTATGTATGTGTGTGTGTGTGTGTGCGTGCGTGGGTGGGTGTATCTGAAATATCTCATTCTAACCTCATTTGCCACATATACCTCCAAACTATATCTGCCTATAGCCCAGTGTCAGGTTTCACGTTAAAGCCTCTGAGTTATGCTTACTAAGCTGGCGTTTGAGCTCTAATTAGCTAAATGATGCTATAGAGCTCTGTGTTTCTCAAGGAAAAGCACCTAAATGTAAATATATTGTCATAAACACAAATTGATTTAACTCTATCTGTTGCACCTACAAAAACCCAAACCCATTCTTAGCTGAGCATTTTTCTCCCTTTTTTTTAAACATTTCTTGCTGTTTTTGTTATGTGAAAGCTTACTACTTACTACATCAGTCTGACCACATCATACAAACACTGATGTCAAAGTGACTAATTGATTTTGCTCAGGCAGTATGTTGCATCATGACATCACAACTCTGGGAATTATAGCCATTTATGTCCAATACCCCATTTGTGAACAAAACAAAAACATTTCAGTAGTGTGTTGTAGAATTACCTTTCAGTTGCTGGTATAAATATACTGTTTATGCATCAAGTATTGCACTAGGTTTTGTAAGAATAATTTGATTGAAATATTTTTGGTGTCGTTGCTGCCTGTATTTATTGCTTATGTTTTAAAATTGTGACCCTGCCCCCTTTCCAGGCTTAATAGTAATAGTAATTCTTGATTTTGAAAAAGGCACTTTGATGCAATGTTATGTGTATTGCTGCAATCGCATGAATCTTTTTAATGTCAGCTTATATAATTTATTTTTTCCTCAAATGACACTTCACATTTTAGATGTTGTTTGGTGCTTATGTTAAGAATTTCTGTGTGATTATTTTATTTGTTGTTGTTGTTGTTTCTTATTTGGTATTAATGTAAAAACAAAACAAGAGTCACTTAACTGTAAGAAACTTTGTGAAATATAATGAACTAACAGGACAAAAAGTATAAAAACACTGTTTTACAGGTTTTAACTTTCTAAAATTTGCTGAAAATGCAAACATTGTTTCAAGCGTCCTTACAATCATTCCTTCTGCTTTTAGCAGAATGTTGTCATTTGCCTTCAGCAACCAACAATAAAACAGTCCTTTAATCGGTTAACTCTTTCAGTTTGATTTATTTTTACATTCCATTTAGGTAAACTTAGTTGTAAACTAGGTTGTAAATTATATATAAAATGTATATGTGTGTATGTATATATATATGTATAAATACATATATGTACTGTATATATGGTTCATCAGTGATTAAGACCTAACTCTAATCTCTAACATTTCTGCCTCTAGCTCCCTGCTACCACCATTTAAAGAAGAAGTGAGAGATCTTGGGCAGCAAGAGAATAAGTGTCATCACCTCTCTGCATTGGATGCTGTTCTTAGGGCACTGTGCCCAGCACATCGTACCTTACTACACCAGTTCCTGAAGCAGGCATGCCAGGAACAAATCCTCCCTTTCCGCAACCATAGACCTGGTAAAACCGAATTCTGTTGTCACTGTGATATCAAGAAAAAGGATGATGGTATTCTTTTTGCCTTCAAAGCCAGTCAATGTAAAGGCCAGCCCAGAAACCTCTGCTGCCCTTTGATGGGTTGCAATCACCAGGGTCATGGCAGCACAACATATCATTCAGGAGCCCCCACGTCAAATTGTAAGACAAACCTCTACCCTTTAAACGACTGTAAAATTGCTCATTCACTGGGTTCAAACTGCTGTGTGCAAAAGTGCAAGACAGAAATCTTTACTGTACCACATTCCAAGCTGTTGCACTGTCTTTCCTGCCAAACCCTGGAAGGAGGTCACAAAAACCACTTAATGTGTTCAATAACACCCTCCTCCACATTATCAAAATCCCCTTCTCTGTACTCTCCCTCATGTAACTTATACCCCTCTGCATTGATCTGCTGTAATCAACACTCTTGTCTCTGTTATACAAAATCTGGCTGTCCATTGCAAATCAGGACCCCAATAGAAAGAGGAGCAGTAGATTGGGTTCCACCTTGTATTGAAAGCGAGAGAGAGCAGAGCCCTTCTCCACCCCCACTTTCTCCTATACCCTCAGACTTTATGAGGAAAACTGATGAAAAGCCACCGCCTTTACTTCACCATGGGCAAGACGACGAAGCTGAGACATCTTTTAAAGAAACCATGAGGGCAAGCCCCTGCAACACAAGTGAGAAAAGATCTACACACGAGTCTCTAAAATGTAGTACGCCAACAATTAGTGGGGCTAAGCAGAATTCACATGGGTCCTTACTGCAGGATGTTGTAGATCGCTTTAGTGAGAAGCTGGAGACAATCAAACCTCTAGAGAACGGTTCACCTCTAGTCTCTGCAGGCATTTATGCCCGTGAAAAGGAAGAGTCTCCCTCCAGCAGCCAAAACCTGCAGAGTTGTTCAAATGCTCATCTGACTGAAATCATTACCAAAGTGCTTCACAAAAACACAGCCAGTGACTACAGTCTTAGTGAGCTTTTCTATCGCCATGACAGCAAGGAGCCGAAGTCACCCAACACCCGTTTCCGTCGTCGCCAGGAAGTCCTCACAGCTATCGCAACCCCAACTGATAACTCATCAACAAGAAGGCAAAGCTTGAAAATTAAACGGGAGTTGGCCATGTTTGATCAGTCCTACACTAGACGAAAATTGCCTGCAGCAAAGAGGGCCAAGGTAAATGATGAAAAGGTTACATTGACAGTATCATGCACATCATTGGACTCTAACACCATAAAAGAAAAAATTGAAGAAGAGATGGAGGAAAGTGACATGCTCTCTGAAAAACTAAAAAGTGAAATACAGGCAGTAGTTATCACGGAAGAAATTCTGAACATCAAAGCAGAGGAAAACACAATCAAAATGTCAGATGAAGAAAAAAATACTCCAACCAACACTCAGACACTCGTCACTGAACTCTCTAGTCAAACAGCAAGTGATGAAAAACCAGCACAGGTGGCAGAAACTCCAAACTCAGTTAATCATTGCATGGAAACCTGCATAGAAAAAGAAAATCCTAATAGTTCTACAACAGAGAATGGTCTCAAAAACTCACAGTCATCCAGGGAAGATTCTGATGGTGAAAAAAGATTAGGGGTAGAGTTTTGTAGTCTTGTTGAAGAGACGAAGAAACAACAATCAAAGCACTCCAATGAAGTTAGAAGGTCCAGGAGAAATATCGTACCCCCACAGCGGTTTTCCTCCTATGTTGTTGAGCCCATTAATATGTTCTTTGTCCCATGTTTCTCTGGAAGCATTTCTAACCCAAAAACACAAAATATTACTACAGCTAGCACATTGGATGGTGGACCAAGAGATACCGATACTGATGCTAAAGAACCTCAGCTTGAAACAAGTGCTCCTATGGTGATCAAGGAAGCAGACAAGCTTCTGTTGGAATCAACACACGGGAAAGAATTTCCTGTGGCTGACGCAGGGTTAGAAACTAAACCTACCACACAAAAAAGTCCTGCAAAACAAAGGTTTGAAGATGGAAAAAACTTGGTGGTAAACACTGTAAGAAGCCTTAGATCATCACCAAGACTGAAAGTTTCACTGGCAGCATCAAGAACACCCAACATCCCACTGAAAGATAAGGTCATTGCATCCACTCCAAATGAAAACAAATCTCCAAATGTCCAATTCCAGTACACCAGCCCGATTAAGCTCATGTTTTTCTCAGAAGTAAAGGATAAAGGAGAAATTAAGTATAGTCTCAAATCTGCAAATGGTGGTTCTAGTTCTCACACAGAGGAACCCTTTGATCTCTTTGGAGTGTCGCCATGGTCAGAAGCAACTGAGAAACACGGAGAGAGTACTTCGTCCCCTACATCAAAAGTAAAATTAACTGCTTCACCACTAAAGCCTTCTACCTCACCTGTGTCTTCGTCAGTAAAGTCTCCCCCTCTATCTCCCAAATCCTCTCCTCGAAGCAAGTCACTGTCCTGCTCACTCAGGTCTGCCTCTTCACCAACTAAGCCTTCACCGTCAGAGTCTGTCTTTTCACTGAGGTCGGTTTCTTCATCACCCAAAGTAGGTTCCAGAAGATCAAGTGAAAATACTCCAACTAAGCAACCGTCTGCACCCGAGAGTCAAAGATCTCCTCGGGACTCGTCTGTCAATGAAGCAACTCCTCCAAAAAGGCGACCAGGTCGCCCAAAAAAACTGGGACCGCAGTTAGAGCAAAAGGTGAAGAGACCCATTGGTCGGCCACGCAAACAAAAAACCCTTGATGCAGAAACTGGGCAAAAATTAGTAGATGGAAAACCAGTTTTGGCGTCAGATCCTGAGGAGAACGCAAACAAGAACCTTAAAATTACGGTGTTGTATGGTCGTTCAAGGAGAAATAAACGGATGGTGTCCGAGGGCATGGAAGAGCTACAAACTGAATTTCATGATCCGTCTCAAGCAGTTGGACTTAAAGGTGACTGTGGGATTTTATTGCACAGTTCTAAGACCAGCACAGGCCACACTGAAACCACTAAGAAAGTACCGTCATTGGATTGTAGTTTGTCCAGCCCCTTGAAAGAGTCTGCCTCTCTGTCAGGTAGTCACATCAAATGTACAAAACAGGACGAGTCTGGGCCCTCGAAAAAACCAGGCAGACCTGCCAAGGTGAAGATCTCTGGAATATCAGTTACAGTGACCACAGTATCACCTCGCCAACGCAAAATTCAGATGAATAGAGATGCTGGGCAATCCCCTGCAACGCTGACTCATAAAAAAGTGTTTCTGCCAGAATTTAAAACTGCCAAAGAACACAGGACAATCATCTGTCAGTCAACAAACAGAGAGAGAACTGAAAAAGAGTTGGAAACAAAAATCCAGAGTGAGGACAAACAACTGGATCTGTCTGTACCAGTCCGCCACTCCATGAGAGTAAAAAAGCCCTCCATCCATTTTCTCCATGCTGTGGCCATGTCCACCTCCAGGTCATACAGACACAGCAACGCTCTGCTGCGGCGCTCTAAACAGCTTTTGCTTAACAAGGCCAGCAATGACAAAAGGAAAGAGGAGCAACAGCAGACACTTGGAACTTTTGGTGGGAAAAAACCCCTCCAACAAGAAAAGGGAAAGAAACTCCCTAAGGACTTGAGCAGAGTTGCTGAGGTGTCTGTTAACTCGATTTTCTCTCCTAAAAAATCACTAAGATGGTGGGCAGTGTCAGCTGAGCAAAACACAATAAACCAGGAGTTTGCCAGGCGAATACAACGTATCTCTGACACCTGGGTTTCAGGTGGTGTAGAGAACCAAGAAAATGAAGTTGCCTGCGATTCTAAATTCAACACCAAATGCAGCAATTCACTCACGAGGAAGTCAAAACATTCCTCAGTTGTGCGAACACTCTTCGATTGTTCACCGAACAAGCCGAGGTCTTGCAGCATGCAGCAGCTCTGCTCTTGGTTTATGCAGACCACAGAGACACAATCTCTGGCTATTGTCAAGAAGGCAAGCCTGCGTAACCCCTACGAAGAGATGCACTTCCCTCGTTCTACCAGTAACAAAGGTTTTTGCCAGAGTCCTCAAGCAGAACGACTGCGCAAACATGTGAAGAAATTTGCTAAAACGGTGCCAAAAAGCCCTTTACAACACCAACTGGCTCAAAGAAGGATGGATAAGAAGAATGAAGCACCGGCACAGGGACGTCAAATAAGGCGACAGCTTTTCCCTGGCCAGTCTACGACAAACTCACTCAAGCAAGGAGTTCAGCTTCAGCGTCGCATAGCCCTCAGAAACCACCAAATCATTGTACGTAGGGCAAAGAGAAGATTCCTCACCCAGAAAGAAAGGCAAATGTGGCAAAAGAGACAAAGGGCAAAGAAAACTTTAAACCTTGGAAAGTCTTCAAAAGCAAATGCAGCAACAGGACTACGACAAAAAAGGGAAACAGTACTCAGATCAGTCAAATATCAATCATCAAACAGTTGGGAGAAGTATTCTACCAAAAGTTCTCTTGACCAAATTCAAGAGCCTGTGAAAATACCGAAAGAACAGAATCTCAGTTCCAAAGCCTGGAGTCCTGAGACGATTAAGGAATGTCGAGTGTTCCTGAGGAAGATCAACTCTCCAGACAATGAATCGCCTGAAGAAGAATGGAACTCCTGTACCGTGACACTGGATGATGGCTCGCCCCCTGCATTCGTATATCCAGA